AGCTCCACCACCCTCATACTCGCCTTCGTCTTCCCCTTCTCTCTCTTCGCAGGCACCGTCTTCGCATCGCTCCGCATCGCCGATAACCTCGAAGAGAAATTTCTCGAGGACGTAATGGATGTTTTTTTCTCGTGCACTTTACTTGTTTGATGAAATGCCTCGATGAGTTTTTTGACTTTTTATTTCGGGGTTTTTTCTTTAATTTTATTTTATTTTTTTTAAATTTTTAGCTTGCAATGAATAGAGCATTGATGGAGGAGAATGAAGAAGAGGATGAAGAAGGCAGAGAGGCCGGAATTTCGGAGGAGGAAGTGTGGCTGCGGCCGAGCTGCGGCTGCCGCGGCCGCCGCCCGCTCCTCGGCGCGTCGCAGTAGGCCCAGACGAGAAGGCTGAGGAGAATTGTGATGATCTTGTGTTTATGTAGAGTTTGTATGATTCTGTTATATGGTTGATAACATGAGATGTATTATGTGTTTACCTTGTTTCTCGATCTAAGATGTCAAACATGCCAGTTGATTAATTTTAATTTTATGCAAAAGTTTACGCGGGCAACTTGTATGAGTGATGTTTGTTATTGGCAATTTTGCTATCATGTTTATGAGTAGATCCCATGTATGTAGCAATCGCTTTATCGCTTGAATCAGCAGTGATTGAATCCAGTGTGCATGTTTGGCGCTGGCTCTTTGATTTCACGTCAAAAAAAAAAAAAATGCTCATAAATTAGCATTCCAATTTGCTTTCCATCCATAATCACTATCGATCGATGCCGCGCGGGGCGCTTTCCAAACAACTTTTATGTACCATTATTACCGGTGTAGATCAATATAGCAATCTAATGTAATCATGTGGCTTTAAGATTAGTGGTCTCTACTGTTTTTTTTAGTAGCAGGAGCCAGGGAGGATCAAAAATACATTTCCGACACACTCTTCTTCTGTCATCTATTACTGGTATAATTGGCGTTTCGAGTTAATGCGACATTTAACCCAATTCATTAGTCATTATTCAATTTTACGTATGATCGTCTATATCGTTCGTAAGATTAAAAAGTACAGAGCTAATGCATCGAGCAAGAACTCTTTTTAATGAAACTCTCCGCTTCGCCAGTTTCCTTATTTGATTCTAGGAAAGGGTATTACTAATGAATGTATAATTGTATATTGGGTTTGTTGGTAATCCAAAACCCAACTCCACAGGTTAGTGGATTCGGGTCTTAAGTGGATCCAAGACATTATAGGATCCAGTGTACGCCTTCCTTCAACGGGAGTAATTCAGCATCGTCCCTCACCCAAATCCTTCCCGAAACCCTGGAAAAAAAAACCCCAAATTCCCAAAACCCTAACCCTAGAATCAACCGCCATGGACGAAGACGAAGCAGAGCTCCTCTCCCTAACCCGCTCCCTCTCCCCCTCCAACGCCGCCACCACCTCCTCCGACCAAACCCTAACACCCCCAATCCCGTCGCTGCCTCGCAAGTACCGCGTCCGCACCCATTGCCACAATGCCCTCCTGCCCTCCGCCGCCGCCGCAGCGCCGCGCGCCGCCACATCGACCGACTATGAGATCCCGAGGAGAGTCCGCCTCGGCCCGCGGAGCGACCAGGAGAAGCAATCCAGGATCTTCTCGCCTCCGGCGCCGCGCCTACGCTACTGGCGCGTACCAACCAAACGACTCCGCGTTGCCGCGCCTAGCTCGCCGCCTCAACGAGCCGGCGTCACGCCTCTTGGCGAAAGCGCCAATCAGAGAATGGAAGCCCAGCGGGAAGCGGCTGCCGATCCGATGCATGTCTCCTGCCTCGAAGCGGACGGGCGCATGAGAACTTCTCAAAGGCGCCATATGAGGAGAGGCGGAGAGGGATGAGGTTGAGGATGAGGGAGTGGAGGTTTCGTACCCGTTTTATACGGAGGGGTTGAAGGAGTTAGCCGAGGCGAGGAGGGAGATTGCAAGGTTTTCAGTGGGCAGGGCGAGGGTGAGGATTGGACGGGCGAGGAGGAGGAGGGAGGATCCCGATGAGGATGAGGAAGGGGAGGCGAAGGAGGCGTGTAGGGCTGCTGGGGAGTTTGTGCTTGAGTGTAGCGAGATTGGGGATGATAGGCCGCTTTCGGGGTGCTCTTTTTCGAGGGATGGGTTGATGCTGGCTACATGGTAAGTTTTCATGGGTTTTTCTTTGTGATTTTGCTATTATCGGTGCATTTGAGATTCGCTGTATCTACATATGATTAGATAAAGACTGTAGTAAAAAAAGAGTGACTTTGTTATGGTTGACACTAAGGTGTGGAAACTGCTCCTACGTTGGCAATGATGATGTAATTCGTAGCCTAATACATATATTATAGAGTTCTCAAGCCTTTTTTTTCTAATCATGCTACACTGGCTTCATCTTTGCACCTACCGGCTCTTCTTAAAGCTAAAATTTGATTTAACTTTCTTATCTAGATTAACTGTTCACAATTTCTAACTTCATCAACTGCAAGTTGCCACATTCTTTAGCATACTGCATGGTATCAACTCTAGCAAGACTTGAGCATATATTCCTACACCACACCTTCTCTCTGAGTTTGATCAATTGTCAAAGTTCCACATTTATCAACACATCCTCCCTGTGGTCAATCTTTGATCTCCGGATTACCTGGCGAAAAAAATTTACCCCTCAGACATCAAGTCTCAGGATGTCTTTCATGTTTCCTCCAATTAGTTGCTTCTGGAAAACACTCAACACACTTTCAAGATAAAGCTTCATCATCGACGAGATTGCTGCGGAGTGGCTTTTCTAGCTGGTTTCAATGTGCAGCAGTGTCTTTTCTTCCGCAACAATCTACACTAACTTTGCATACTTCCCTTCCCTCACCCTTTATCTTCCCTCTTATCTATTTCCTTACATATTTATAATAAATATCTCTTGATAATAATCGGCAGTTACTTCACTTTCCCTAAAAAAAAGAACTTTGCCAGTAGTTGTGCTTGTTGTAGGTTCTGATCTCAATGAATGAAGGCTGAACATGAGAGTTTGTTTTCTACTTTCGTTTGTTGAGTTTTTATGATATTTGAAGTTGGATAAGATAAATATATTTTAAGGTATCAGTTCCACTCGTATTCTGACCACGCAAAAAGAGTTTGCAACATTGTTTACAATATGTTCGGAATCTGTTTAAAATCTGGGGGAAAAAACACTTCCAGTACTAGTGATTTTGTTAAATCACCTTTTGTTTGTCATGAAAAAGAAATATACAGAGCAGTACAGGTACAAGTTGAGCTTCCATTTTGGATCTTTTTTTGGCTGAATCTGCCAACTACTTAAATAGTAAATGAGTGATATACTGACGTTTGGTTTCAGAATTTTTTTCGACTTTCAACCTGTTCATTCTTCAGCATTGATTGGTGGTCTTAAAATTCAAAATTAAATATTAGCACACTTAGCTTGTTGTGATGGCTTGCAAATTCACATAGAAAATATCATGAAGTTTTAAGTGATGCTCTTTTTGAAAATTCAAAATTAAGAATCAGCGTTCTTAGCTTGTGTCCTGATGAGCAATTCAAGTAGAAAATACCATGAGATTGGATGATTCTAACACACATTTGATTCTAACATACGTTTGCTACATGTTCTGGATCAAATTCAGATTGAAGCATACCAGTCTTCTAAGGGAAGAAATAAATAGTGCATTTATGCTGTTGATTTAGTCATTTCCTACATCCATTGTTAACAATACTTCTTGCTTTGTTCATTTCAAATGCTACTTCTATTAGTAAGGTGGAATTAGCTAATTTTAGCTGTCAATACTTGGACGACATATTTATAGTTGCATTCCACTTTTAAAAAATGTTTATTTATAGTTTACTTAACATTTCAGTATTTGTGCTCTTAGAATTTGTCAGCATAAATACCCAGAGTTGTGCACTTATTTTTGGCAGTGTTGTTGTGACTATTATCTATAAACTCTCTACGGAGAAGTTTCAGAAGAAAACAGGAAAACAATAGTTAAAGTAAGAATTAAAAAGGGAAAAGGCACTACTTTTAAAGATTTCAAATGCTGGGCAGCACCCAGCTTCAAGTGCAAGGCATTATAACTATACTAGTCTGCCTATTGTTTAGGCAGATCAAAACTTCTCGTTGTTTCAATTCGCTCTATCGCTTTATTATCATTGGTTTGTTATTTTATTTGAAGAGTAAACAAGAAGTCCCAGAGACATATCTTTTTTTTTTGGGTGCTTTTCTGGATCAATAAGAAAAAGAAAAAAAAGGAGAAAAAAAAATGAAAAATAAAAAAGGGAGAAAGACTGAACCTTGGTCTTGTATGATCCATTTAGTACTATTTTCCTTTGCATGTATTTATGCACTTCCCATCCCAATAACAATGAAGGTTGATTGCTCCCAAAATTCATAATCTTTTACTCTTGGCTCCTTTCAGTCAGAGCTTTGGCGCTTTAGTATAGCTGTACCTAAATCTAGGCTCAATTTTCTTGTTACTCAATCCTTTCTTTTCTTTTCCTCTTTTAGCTGATCCGTCTTTCTTTGATGTTTTTCTAAAGTAAATAAAGTGATAGAATCAGCTAATTCGTTTGTCTCAATGTAAAACAGCTTTCATGAGTATTTTAATGTTTGCTTTTTATATATGGAAAGCTGCAAGATTAAGCATTTCTTGTAGCTCTCTCCTATGAGCTTTATATCAAACTATATTAACATTAGTGTCATCAGTGTCCTTGTGGATTAAGTTCTACTTTATTTTCTCTTTTTCTTTCAACAAGTGACGATCTTTTGCATGCCCCTTGAGATCATATAATTGGCTGACCATCTTTTTCTTTAAAAAAAAAAATCAATTACATCTGTCTTCTGAATATCTTATGTCTTTATCCCTAATATCTTTCATTTAGTTCTTGGAGTGGGATCGCTAAAATATGGAGCATGCCACAAGTAAAAAGGACTGCAACACTTAAAGGTCACAGAGAGCGTGCTACTGATATAGTATTTTCTCCTGTTGATGACCTCTTAGTAACTGCATCCGCAGATAGAACTGCAAAGTTATGGAAGCCTGATGGGTCCCTATTGAAGTCATTTGATGGCCATCTTGATCGGCTTGCTCGTGTTGCATTCCATCCATCAGGTAAATACCTGGGAACTGCTAGTTTTGATAAGACGTGGAGACTTTGGGACATCAATACTGGGTTGGAATTGCTCCTCCAAGAGGGTCATAGTAGAAGCGTGTATGGAATAAGCTTTCATCCAGATGGATCTTTAGCTGCATCATGTGGCCTTGATGCACTTACTCGTGTCTGGGATCTTCGCACAGGAAGAAGCATTCTTGCCTTGGAAGGCCATGTCAAGCCGGTAAGTTTGCACTTTTGGTTGAAGGAGTGCTCTCATATTTACTTTGGACCCTTTCAAAAAAATGGATAAATTACAAAACAGCCCCACTAAGGTTTGAATGATTGTCAACCCCCCCCCCCCCACCCCAAACAAAAAAAAATAAAAAATAAAAACAAACAAAACAAAAAAACAAAAGATTATAAAAGTGAACCCACCTCTATAATTTCTGCATGATTAAATTGGATGTAAAAGCTAATATCATATGGTATAGTAATTATATACCCTTTCATTTCAACAAATATATGATTATTATAATGACAATGGATGATTATGTCAAAAATTTATGATTATTTGGCTAGAAATTGCAAATGAGGGGGTAAACTCTGTCTCCTTAGGGGGATTTTGTGTCGATCGTGCAAACCTGAGGGGAATATCTGTAATTATACCCTAAAAATTTATGGCCATGTCATTCATATGACTCAGAAAATGTAAATCATTTTACAAATACACATGTAAACACTTGATTCATGGCGCGGGCACATCAAAAACTGCATATTCGGCTACTTTTGCAACTACCCAACACTGGATTTGCATTTGGAAATATGTCTCCTACAATAGAAGTGCATATATTTAATCAGTGGATTTGAGACAAATTTTCTTCTACAAATGACGCGTGTAGCATTTTCTGCAAGAAAAATCTATTGCATTTAAAATTTCAGCATACCAAACAACCTCGTAGTGTTGATTGATCTTAATAGTTTAAAACTTGTGACATACAGGTCCTTGGAGTCAGCTTCTCCCCCAACGGCTATCGCTTAGCCACTGGAAGTGAAGACAATACATGTAGAATATGGGATTTGAGAAAGAGGAAGTGTGAGTACACTATACCGGCTCACTCCCACCTTATCTCTCAAGTGAAATACGAACCTCAGGAGGGATACTTTCTTGCAACTGCTTCCTATGATATGAAAGCAATGGTTTGTTACTTGCAACTATGTCCTCTTTCCGGTGATGAGAATTTTTATTAGTTGACTTGGATAACCTAAATCTTTGATGTATTGTTTGTTCTTGCTCTTTGTATCAGGTGTGGTCTGGGCAAGATTTCAAGCCTGTCAAAACTTTGGTCGGGCATGAAGCCAAAGTTACAGGTTTAGATATTAGAGCAGGTCAGTTCGTTGGACTTTCTTGTATATTATAGGGCTAATTGCACATTAGACACCTGTAGTATTGTTGTTTTGAACTACTACCCCTGTAGTTTCATTGTTGCAGATAGACCAACAGGGTTAATTTTATTTTTACTCTTTTACACTCAGATAACTCCGTAATTTTACCAACGGGCTCTTTTACACTCAGATAAACACAGTAATTTACCCACGGGCAATATCTTCCAAATTTTCACCCAGGGTAAAAGAGTCAACAAAATTTAACCCAGGTGGGATCTCTGCGACAATGAACTGCAGGGGGGTGTTCTGTTCAAAACAATGAACTGCCAGGGGTCTGTGCAATTAACCCTGTCTTCTGTGGTGCAGTTTCAAAGGAAGTACTTATGATTGTTGATTAATATGCAGATGGGCAGCAAATAGCAACTGTTGCTTATGATCGCACAATCAAGATTTGGTCAAGTAGAAGCAGTGGAAATGAGAAGAATTCAATGGACATTGACTAGATGCTTGTCAGGATTATGTCTGATTTCAGTAGGTAAGAGGAGGACTAGAAGTTCATAAGCCGAAGTTTTGTTGACGCAGATGCAAAGAAATCTAATGTTGTATGTGATTTAGTCATTAAGATGCTCTCTACTCATGAATTAGCAGAGGGAATTAGCGGAGGGAACTAGATCATTCTCCTTTTCCTCTCTCTCTCTCTCTCTCTCTCTCTCTCAGTGTCTGAATTTGCAATTTGATTCAATTTCATCTGAATATTAAAACAGCTTTACTTTTGGGTAGGTATCTATTGTTGATCTGTATTCCGGTGGAATTTATTGACTACAAAGAGGGATGCGTTTAGTTTGGAACAATGGACTTCACTGAATGTTTGATCAATTAATTAGTTGTAGTCATATTTCACGATGTATATTCACAAAAGTTATTTCAGTTGTAATCATGGGTAGATGCAAAAACTACCTCTCAAATCTCAGTAATGTAAGGGATCGAGTGCAAATCTCTGTTATTGTGGGCTCTTCTAATCTCATGGATTGCGGTATGTATTGTAAGTCTTGAAAAACTAAGAACTCGCTTGGTATTATAATGGGAAAATGAGAATAGCCAAAAGAAAAATTGTTGAGTTGGTATGGTTTGCTGAAATCCTTGGATGTTTTGGTGTACCCCACGTATATGATGTTCTTTTTAAAGTAATGAATGTAAATGAGAAGTTTTTTGGGGATTGATGTTTATATGTTGCTCGCAAGATGCATGTCTAGTTTGGGTATGTGAAAATTTGCTTGTAAGTATGGATGCAGTTGACAATGATGCGTATCGATTCTTGGTGCTCGCCTGAGCTCACCAAGAAGATGAAAAACAAGCGTTTGCTAAAATGTCCAAAAGATTGGCAGCCGTTAAGAATGCACAGCAGATCCTGTTGCAAAGCTTGTCATGGGAATGAACATTAACTTCAATCCCCTTTCAAAGACTTGAGAAATCTAACTTGTCTAGCTAGCTATTTTGAGGAATTTTGGAGGGGATAAAAAAAATTCAAATGTACAGTTTTTTTTTACGGTGGGTGGAGTTGAATTTTTCGGATGTCTTTTTTTTTTGTGGGAATACACGAGTTAAGAACGGATACGGTGATCAAAATACCCCGTTACCATTTGATCACTCACTCTATTAGTTGGGCGTAATTTCCCCAATGTATATGATTTAAGGGATAGTTTTATAAATATTGAGATTTAAGGGTTAGTTTTGCAAATGTATGCATGTATACCCTCCAGAGTAAGTATGAAACTGGTTTAAGAAATAGTCATTCCAAACCTGTTTCAGCAAATAGTCATTCAAGGTTGGAAAATGATTATACAAGAAATTTTAACAATCTAAGTAATGAATCACAATGCTCATAGGCAATGCAACAGAGACAGTTCTCTAGTCGAAAACAGGGACGAGTGGCGATGAAAGCCCAATTCACCAACGTATAGTTCATAGCAGATTAAGTATGATATTATATCACTAAGGAAGTGTATCCTCCCAGTCCCCGTATCAAACTTACGGAGCAGTAAGTGTCACAATGTGATAGTATTGGGGTTATATGTGCAATTAACCTGAAAAATATACAAACATCATCTTGAATTAAAACCCGCACAAACTTTATCAACATTCAACCAAATAACCACCTGTAGAAGGAACCCCTTCAGTTTAACCCCGCATACACTGCAATAACCACATGCCTCTTGGAGGATGTAGGCATAAAATCGCTCTTCCAGCCCCATCAAATTGGAAAGCAAAGCAAAACAAAACTTTGTTCCTAGCTCAATCTTCTCGGTAGCAGGTCCTGTCGGAAACAAGAAGAAAACCATCACGAGACAATCTTCTACTAATTAATCCCGGTGTGCAGAAATAAGCAGCAGCAACAGCAATTCAATAAAATTACCGGACAATGATATAGCATTATATTATATAGATATATATATATAATATATATATATATAAATATATTATATATAGACGGAGAGAGCACTGAGAGAGAGAGAGGAAATTAATGGGTATTCCTTGTCATAGGAGGGGGCATTCCTCCTATGATGCCTCTAAAAATCACATGATTGAGCGACATGTGGATGATCCGCCTCGTTGAACTTGATCTACATATTCTAAAACCCCAACACATCAAGTTTGGGGTGAACCCATCGTCGTTTGACCCATCATCCACTTCGTTATCAATTTTAACGGTTTTGAATGCAATAGAACTTTTCAACATGGCTCGATGGAGGCGTCAAACGACGACGGATTCACCCCAAACTTGGATCTGTGTTGGGGTTTTTAGAATATGTAGATCCAGTTCAACGGAGCGGCATCATTCCACAATGTCGCTTCAATCATGTGATTTTAGAGGCGTCAAGGGAGGAATCCTCTTCCTATGCACAAGGATACCCATTAATCTCATATATACTATATATATATTATATAAGAGAGAGAGAGGCAGAGAAACTTTATGTCAACTAAGTGGACCATCCACCAAAGTTTCTATCTATTTGATGATACCTAGAGATGCCACGATATCTTAGAGATACGTGCATCATTATGAAAAGACTTTTTATCAATGGATAGAAACTTTGGTGGATAATCCACTTAAGTTGACATAATTTTCTCTCTCTCTCTCTCTCTCTCTCTCTTCTCTTAATTATATTATATATATATATATATACTATATATAGAGAGAGAGATGAGAGAAAATGGGTATGCTTGTTGATACTAAGCACAAATTCTGTGCTAGCGTAGTGACGGTGGCATATCCCCCTCCACCATTCAAATGGGGGGATCACATTCACATGCGGTTGAGAAGTGCATGGGGATATGCAACCATTTGAATGAGTAGAGGGGATGTGACACCTCACTACCAAGCATAACTTTTATGCCTGGTAGTGAGGTGGTTACAATCCACTCCACTCATTCAAATGGGGACCACATTCACATGGATTGAAGAGTGCATTGAGAATATGCAACCATTTGAATGAATTTGAGAGGATTATGCCACCTCACTTACCAAGCATAACTCATCTCTCTCTCTCTCTCTCTCTCTCTCTCTCTCTCTCTCTCTCTCTCTCTCCTTTCTCTCCTCTATATATATATATATATATATATATATATATATATACATATATATATAAAGCACTGCCCGGGTGCCTCAGAGAACCCCCCCAAGATCCTGATATTCACGCAGGAATCCTAGACAGGACTGACACTGTGCTATCTTGCCCCCAATTGGCAACACATATATCCCAAACCTAAACCTTAAACCTAACTCCATACCCCTAACCTCACCCTAAACCTGACCCCAAGCCCAACCCTAACCCTAAACCTAACCAATTGGGATGCAAGTGTCCAACGACAGTCGCTAAAATCGAAAAAGGTAAGCAATGCAGGTAAGCAATGCAAATAAGAAACAGATGTTCTCTATTAGATCTCTCTTACTAGAAAAAGTGAGATCAGCTCTGTTGTGAAACTTGATAAAAATAAATGTAAAGGGTGGTTTTCAAGTAGCTACCTAACATGGTGGGATCCAAAAAATAGGACTTCAATAGATTGACGAATATGAGGATGATGATGTTGATCTGGGAACAAGATCATTAGCGGAGGGAACTGATCATTCTCTTCCTCTCTCTTCTTCCTCTCTCTCTCTTCTCAGTGTCTGAATTTGCAATTTATTCAATTTCATCTGGAATATTAAAAACAAGCTTTACTTTGTGGGTATGATATCTATGTTGAGTCTTGTATTTTGCCGTTGGAAATTTATTGGACTACCAAAAGAGGATGCGTTTAGTTTGGGAACAATGGACTTCACTGAATGTTTGATCACATTAATTAGTTGTAGTCAATTTCACGGATGTATATTCACAAAAGTTATTTCAGTGTGTAATCATGGGTTAGATGCAAAAACTAACCTCTCAAAATCCTCCAGTAATGTAAGGGATCGAGTGCAAAATATCTCTGTTATGTGGGCTCTTCTAATCTCGATGGGATTGCGGTATGTATTGTAAGTCTTGAAAAAAACTAAGAACTCGCTTGGGTATTATAATGGAAAATGAGACATAGCCAAAAGAAGAAAAATTGTTGATTGGTATGGTTTTGCTGAAAATCCTTGGATGTTTGGTTGCTACCCCACGTATATTGATGTTCTTTTTAAAAGTACGATGATGTTTTAAATGGAGAAGTTTTTTGGGATTGATGTTTATATCGATTGTCGCAAGATGCATGTCTTAGTTTGGGTATGTGAAAAATTTGCTTGTAAGTTATGGATGCAGTTTGACAATGATGCTATCGATTCTGCGTGCTCGCCTGAAGCTCACCAAAGAGGGATGAAAAACAAGCGTTGTCTAAAAATGTCCAAAAGAATTGGCAGCCGTTAGAATGCACAAGCAAGATCCTCGTTGCAAAAAGCTTGGTCCATGGGACCAGGCCATGAACATTAACTTCAATCCCCTTTCAAAAGACTGCAGAGAATCTAACTTGTCTAGGCTAGCTATTTTGAGGAATTTTGGAGTGGATAACTTATAAAACCAAATTTCAAATGTACAGGTTTTTTTTCACGGTGGGTGGAGTTGAATTTTTCGGATTGTCTTTTTTTTTCGTGGAATACACGAGTTACATCTTTTGCATGGCCCCTGTGAGAATCATAGTAATTGGCTGACCATCTTTTTCTTTAAAAAAAAAAATCAATATACATCTGTCTTTCTGAATATCTGTTATGTCTTTATCCCTTAATATCTTTTCATTTAGTTTCTTGGAGTGTGGATCGCCTAAAATTATGGAGGCAGTTGCCACAAGTAAAAAATGACTGCAACACTTAAAAGGTCACAGAGACGCGCTGCTGCTACTTGATCATATAAGTTATTTCTCCTGTTGAGGGACCTCTTAGTAACTTGCATCCGCCCAGAATAGAACTGCAAAGTTTATGGCAAGGCCTGCATGCTGGTCCCTATTGAAGTCACTTGGATGGCCATCTTGATCTGCTTGCTCGTGTCTGCATTCCCATCCATCAGGTAAATACCTGGGAACTGCTAGTTTTGATAAGACGTGGCAGACTTTGGGACATCAATACTGGGCTTGGAATTGCTCTCTCCAAGAGGGTCATAGTAGAAGCGTGTATGGAATAAGCTTTCATCCAGATGGATCTTTAGCTGCATCATGTGGCCTTGATGCACTTACTCGTGTCTGGGATCTTCGCACAGAGAAGAGCATTTCTTGCCTTGGAAGGCCATTGTCAAAGCCGGTAAGTTTGCACTTTTGGTTGAAGGAGTGCTCTCATATTTACTTTGGACCCTTTCAAAAAAATGGATAAATTACAAAACGCCCCACTTAAGGTTGAATGATTTGTCCAAACACCCCCCCCCCCACACCCAAACAAAAAAAAATAAAAAATAAAAACAAACAAAACAAAAAAACAAAAGATTATAAAAGTGAACCCACCTCTATAATTTCTGCCATGATTAAATTGGATGTAAAAAGCTAATATCTATATCGTATAGTAATTATATACCCTTTCATTTCAACAAATATATGATTATTATAATGACAATGGATTGATTATATGTCAAAAATTTATGATGTATTTGGCTAGAAATTTGCAAATGAGGGGGT